TGAGAGCTAATATTTTAAAAACTACTCGTACGATGTTTACAAAATTTGGTATTCTGGCATAATTTGAGTCGTAGAATCGAAATATGGAAAAAAATTGGTATGTTATTTCAGAAAAAGTCCGATTTTGTGTCAAAATACCTATGTTAGAATAGTGCTATATATAAATCTAATATATATCCTAAGTCGCGCTTTCGAGACATGAAGAAAGCAATTTGAATTTCGTAAATCGCCCCAGTAGAACGGAAAATATAGCACTGTCCCATTTTTTTTTTTTTTTTTTTTTTTTTTTTTTTTTTGAGCAGTGTACATGTCTTCTGTAATCTAATGATAATGCTTCAAAGGATCATAGTGTACTCATATATTGAGTACACACGTTATGTATATATGTTATCGTATCCATGGTTTTGCATACACCTTGTAACATGGCAATGTATTATCCAGTGTCTAACATTAATTAGCTTTAACGCCACAGTATTAAGTACCAAATCTGTATGTATGTTTATGTATTAGTATATTAGCACAATGAACACGTATGGTTATCTAGATAAAGGTGAACGTGGCGCTATACCGATTAACCCTATTGGTAGAGGGGTGGTGCCCACGTCCTCCGTCGCATGTCGCATGTCATATGTCGCATTCTTGACGGTTAGATATTCGGATGGTATATATGATATATAGTTATCACTATATCACCTCATAGAACATAAGTAAAATCTTATTGTTATTGTATAGATTTACTTAAATTATTTGGGAGCAATAGCAGTGATTTAGTTTAGGAATAAGTCCCCCAGAAATTCAAGATAACATAAAATTTCAGGTAACATATCATGCAGAACATCAAATCTTGCGATAAAAAATGCTGTTAAAAATTTAAAAGCCACAGATAGGGAAACATTATCTGTTATTTCATCGTAATATAAAGTCACGTGGAGATCTGTTCACCTATTTCGTAATGAAAGGACTAATTTTTCAAAAGATACTTTTACATTTAATTCGTTGGATCACTTGCGCAAGAGGCCTGTAGCAAATATTTCCCTTAAGGGCCATTTCTTACTCTTTACCTATGCAGAAATTTACGAACTGAAAAAGATAAATGCCACACAAAAGTTTCCTTCAAGATGTTTAATCAGAGGCATATACATAGCCTTTTAATCACTTAATTTACTAAGAAATGTAAAATTTTAATTTGAAAGATGATTAAAAGTGTTATGCAGTATTAACTGGCAACATCGCTGGCAACTATCAGTCTGCTAGGTTGTCGGGATTGAAAAATTAAAGGTACTATTGTGCATGGAATGGCAAAACTTGCTGTCTGATGAATGAATAAGGCTTCATGAAAATAGACTGCTGACTGTGTTTCTTGCCTGATGCCTTCTCTCCTTTAGGAATTAGTTTACAATTCTTTCAGTCATTAATAATTATTCAATATTCAGGATTTAGTTATTAAACAACAATTCCGGATATGAATTCCTGGTGTATTTATAGGGTTCCTTGCGAGTTTACTCAACATTGTTGGTCCGAAAATCACACTTTCAATTTTTCTGCTGCCAAAATTATTCAAAAAACATTTTCCATTGGAGAACTGGATTTTCTAGAGGCATTTCACATTAAAAAAAATCTTACTGTTCTAGTTAACGATCCTAATTCCAATCCGTCTTTGCCTTCGGCCTTTAAAGAAAGTATGTTTTAGTTCTGGTTTCACCAACAGATGGCGCCACTTGCTTATTCTTGTCCAGGCTTTCTTATCTTATTCCTATCTTGTTCATTTGCGGTTTTTTGCAACTGAGGATGGTTATTCGGTAAAACCATCGAAACTAGTCCTGTGAAATTTTAGAAGATATAATGCTGATTTTTGTTATTTGACTTCTGAATTAGTAACAATGTCTCAGTTACAAAACAATAAGAATTAAACGAATTACTCGATGATGAACTAATAAAATTACTTTCCTAATGATGCGTTTTCGCTGTGTAGATAAAGGGAAAAAGAGGGCTTTTACTACAAAAAGTAATATATTTCTTCTTTCTCATATTGATTAACCAGGAAATACCGAAAGGATTCTATCATACGTGCCTGATGTATTTATTTATGAAAAAAGGCTTATTTTAAGCTTTTCAAAACATCAAGCAATAAAATTAATGCTTTGAAATAAAATTTATTTCAAAATATTATTTTTTATTCTCCACGTAACTTTTCGAAATTTAATTTTTTGAAAGCCTTTTCAAGGTGAAATATATACGGCATTATTTTTTTCCAAAAGATAAAGGCATGTGGTTCAAACATTTTTCACTTATATATCATACGATCAGCAATTAATTTTAGTTACGTTATAACGTGTAAACTCAACCCATGAATTTAATATTCCATAAAAATGTATCTGAAAAAGATTACAGTATTATACATAAAAATTCATTTCATTTAAATTCTATAGGTTATTAATGAAATTTTATATGTATGTTATAATATTTTGAATGCAGCTTGAATGTATATTTACACGTTTGAGTGTATAACATTTAAAAATATTATTGGTAATTTACATCTACTACTCAGTAAATTTAGAAAGATGCATTCTTTTGCACTATTATTATTTGATAGTAAAATTTAACCACTGAATGTTAAAATATTGGTCTAAAAATGAAATTTAATAAAACATTATAAATATTCTGTCTATAATGCAACTCCTTAATCGAATTTTTGCGTTGTCTTCAGAATTTGGCTTCATCGAGTGATTTAATTGTGAAAAAAATACATCAACTACTTGACGTTTTAAAACATTAGAAAAATAAATGAACAAATTATAATGAACATTTATTATTTTGATGTTAGAAACGTCTTTACATGCGTAGATATATATATCAAATATAACCAAGGTTTAAAATTTAACCATTTCTGCAAAGTTTGAGATTTTTAATTTATTCTCAATATTTAATCAATGTGTAATTGCTTGACAAACTGTGCGATTCAAAAGCAATAAATACACTTCTAAATACTTTTTTTAACGTTAAAGTGTCTTTACTTGAGTCTTTGGCAATTTAATTTTTTAAAAATTTTATACCTTTATATTATGCTACCATGCATTTATTGTTCATTTGAACTTGTAAAATAAGGATTAGCATGACGTAAAATTTAAGATTTGAATTTATCTCTAAGCGGCTAAGCGCAAACAGCCAGTTTTCGCGGTATTGCCTTTTCAGTAAGGCATAACCCCTAGAATTTATTTTTAATGTTAAATCAGTCTGTAACTGATGAAAGATTTCAAAACGAAAAAATAATTTAAATATTCATTTTAACTTCTAATAATCAATTTAATCCATATAAATTAAAGTGCATTTAATGAAAATTACATACAGTTCTTAATTATGAATATTGGGGCGTTATTATAACTAATAACAAGTGTTTTTAATACCGTATATTACGCAACATATACCAAATCGTTTGATCTTTTTTACTAATTCTTTGCTTTGTATTACATGCATTCTCACAATATAGTATTATTTAATAATCTGAAGTTCATATTTATATACCAAATGCTTTAGATTAAATGCTTTATAGATCACCAGTGGCATAGTGAATATGATTCTTGAACACTGGTACTCAGCCCCTGGCTCAAATCCCTTCGAACGAGTTATGGTATAACCGCCTTTATAATTTTCTCCATGTGTAACGTAAATACGAGTTAGAAAATCCTACAGGAGGGCATTGCTCTTCCTAGGCAGCAAGCGAGTGCATACTTGTTAATAAATTAATCTGACCTTAGCCAGATGTATCAAACTTGCGAAAGAACATTTTTATGAAAAGATGCATAAAATATTATAATCCATAGCCATATTCAGTTTTATGTAGTATTTCTTTGTTCGGCAATTAAAAACACTAGGTACCTCCAGGCATTTTCAACCACGTTCATTTTACCATAATTTTCGATTGTTACTGCTTAACGGCAACTAATGAGTTCCAATGTTGTCAAATTCTCCTTATGCTCAACTCTAACTGTTACTTTACAATACTCATTCCCTCCTACTAAATTATCTCTTAACTTTAGTAACGATTGCTGCGCAAAACGGTTGAATATCTCGCACACTCCTCTGTGCGGTGACGACGACATATTTTGCGATCATATAAAGGAAAGTCGATACCGTCTTGAACTGTCGATACCGTCTTTTTTCATAAAATCACATCGATTAGGTGGAATGGGCTGCGCCCTTTTCTATACCGTCTTGAACTGCCTATTTTAAAATAGAGAACATTGCATCTTTCTAGAAGTGGATGACCAACATCATTTTCATACGTTTTGAATAATTTCGCTTCTCCACCCCTAAATTATGATCTTATAAACTAGAATCAGTGCAGCGACTTTAATCCATTTCTCAACCGACCACTGATCATCGTCAATACTTTGTATTAGCCATTAAAACTTGATGAAGCCAGGTGTTTCAAGCCTGTGCAACATTATACGTAATAAAAAAGTACAAATTATAAAGCAGTTCAAAACCTAGTCCAATTGCACACTGAGAGCAGCAACAAGTGGTGGTAATAATGTAAAATAAATTTTAAAATTCATCTCATAATCCTTTCGAAACAAATAAATGTAAAAACCAAATGCCAGAAGCAAATTGGCAAACTGCAAGAAAAAAGGTCATCAAGGGTAAAAAAAAAGGGTTCCTTGCATCGTATTATATGTATCTATATCTATCTGTTTATCCAACTATTTATCTATTTACCCACCTTTCTCTCTATGCTTTATACATACACCATAAAATATAAAATATAAGCTTTAGACAATATAAAATTAAAAATATAAGCCTTAGCCTTCTTAAGCATATCCTTTGACTGTTTTGTGCAAATTAGGCTTATAGTTCTACCAACCTTTGTGGTAAAAGTGGTAGTGTCCATTCTAATCGTTAAACTGTTTTTCTGTTAGAAAAGGATTAAATGGCTTTCCTAACATATAAAAAAGGGAAGTGAAAAAATGAGTTGACGTTAATAGAGTATTTAGATTACTAACCATTCCCCTTCGTATTTCAATCCATCCGATCTCTCCGCGATTCCAAATCCACATCGCCTGTCGTTCTTCCATTCGCCCATATAGGTCTCGGTGACGGCGGCATCACACAGTTCGTCCTGGCTAACGAAACTGACGTTGCTGTCAGTGTGTATGGAGCCCGCCTGGCTGTGCGCCATCCCAGAGTGACTCGACTCGGAGCTCGCAGAACTTAGGTTCGAACCCGAGCTTCGGATCGAGCTCACCCCCCGCCGGTCGATGTCCCCTGTGCTCCGCTGTTTCTTGATCTTCAGCCCCTAAAAGCAAAATATCATATTAATCGGAAGGAACTAAAATAAAAATAATTAATCAATGAATAAATAAAGCTTTCCTGAATTGAATAAAGCAGTGAAACGATGTTTTTTCTCCTTTTGTTCAAGAATGCTCATATAATGTTTCTTGTGGCCGTTCTCATAGTAATGCAGCTAGAAAGTTTAAAGAATCGTATTTAAGGACTTTTAAGATAATGCTGGCTGTTTTGCCATAGTAAAAATTTAAAAGAATCCTGCATTTAGCTTACAGTCAGGTTCCAGTTCAACAAATAAATTCATTAATTGATTACTGCTAATGACACAGCAAATGGAGGGCTATATGCCTATGGGAAGGGATACCTTAGTGAAGAACTTTTTGACATGTGACATACGACGGAGGACGTGGGCACCACCCCTCTACCAATACGGTTAATCGGTATAGCGCCACGTCCACCTTTATCTAGATAACCATACGTGTTCATTAAAGAACTTTTTGAAAGAAATTGCCTTCATATATTTTACACACGGGGAAAACTACGAAAACTCCAAATAGCCAATCCGTTCGTCGGGATTCAAGCACCCGTGTTCATAACTTTACAGCTTGGCCACTGGTGGACTCCTCAGCAACTGAAAACTGACGTTAGTATGTAACTGGAGCGTAAAACATTCCAGCCGACTAAAAAACGGATTGGTGAAGTGCCGCATGGAAGTTCCTTGGTAGTGAAGTGTTCTTTGAGAGCGGTGCTTGTATTTCTCTTTGCAGCTAATACCAGGCTGAGGAGCTAAGCTGCTTGCAATTATTACAAATAACCACGCTGTTACCGGCTGTATTGCTACTGTTCCAAAAAGCCCAGCTTTATTGTAGGCTGCGTGAAGCTGCGGACCATCACTCCTTCTGTTTCTTTCATTTTGCGTTTCGTCACTTTAAGTCTGGTAAATGTTATGTTTGCTTTATAGAGTCTCGTTCCCTGGGTTATTTTATTTCTAGGTTAAATAATGACTTTTGTAACAAGAAATTCCCTTCTCTAACATACGTAGGATTTCCATACTAGAGAAACGGAAGCCATCTTTGGTTAATTCCCTTGTAAGCGTAAGGGGCTAATGTTTTTGGCGAAATACGTATTCAATAATAAATGAAATGCAACAGCTTGTTTCAATATGAAAAAGAGAAACTAGTTATCAATAATGTCCAAATTTCGCTAACATTCGCCATATTCAATACAGTACTCAAACTAAAAATTAACCTTGTTTTCCTTTTGGAAAGAGAAGTTTTGGTCGAGGCACAATTTAGGTCACGTACTACCTTTTAATAAATATGTGCCAAACTTTCATTTTTACACGGGCCTCGTAGGGCCAAAAGTGTTAATGAAAGAAAAGTATTCCATGGTTGATTTAATCGGGTTATCTTCATAACATTATAAATAATTACCCAGGATATCATCGAACAGTCATGTTAAGTCATAGGGCCATTTTATGGTTAGGCTGATTCTATGCCCTTTAAATACATTGCGGAATAAAATATTTTTATCTCCAGCATGCGAGACTGTCTATCGAATATTCTGAGGATATGCAGTTTTGAAGCATTTTTAGTTCAAAGGGGTGTTAGTACAAATGCTCTCGAAACGTGTATATATGTGTAAATGAAAAAAAGCCCTTTAGGCATAATATAATTTTTTAAAATTCATTCTTCATTCGCTGCTTCTGTATAAAACTGTGTAAAGAGAATAATTAACGACATCAAAATGATTTTATAGCAGAGACTTTAACTCATCTATCCAACTAGGTTAATTCACCGATCCGAATTGCGCATTCATGTTGACATGGGAAGCCAATATATTTGCTCTGGTTATAAGCACGTGCATAAGGAAGTTTTCTTAATCGTAAATTAAAATGACATTATCTCATATTTCTAAATTTTCATGCTGAATTACCCAGTACAATACCATTTTTCAAAATGATTAAGTAGAAGACTCTTTTGCTAATTAATTTTTATATTTATAATTCAGCAAGATTCCAAGTCTTTCTAAGTAAATTTATGGCAGAATCACAATTATTAAAAATAGGTTTCATAAAGCTCTCGAAAAATTGCTTCAGTATTTAATTAAGATTTTTTGCCGCTAATTAAATAGCAGGTGTCGAAACTTCAAAGCATAAACTCAACAGCAGTATTTATTTTAAGAGAATCTATATGTATAATTTCCTCGGAATACTATTAGAATCATAGCAAGACAGCCATTATTACTGTTTGCGAAACAATCTTTTCAATATTTTACTTCTAAAAATTTGCTCAAAGTAAACATTAATATATTTTATTTGTCAATCTCTCTTTTGTAATAACACGCGATTTCTCGTTATATAAAAATATAAATTATAAATGAAAATTTATTTTCATTAAGGAAAAGAGCACGGAACTTTTATCAGTTAATAAAGAGATCTGACGTGTAATACTCGAAAGGTTAATTTAGCTTGGTTTGGTTTCCTTAATTACGGCAAAGTACGCAAGAGCTATCTGTCTAAAGGGAAGGATACCTTCGTTGAAGACTTTTTAAGGGAAACTGAATCATATACGTGTTACACATGGAGAAAACCATAAAAACGCCCATGCAGTCAGGCCGTTTGCCTGAAATCGAACCCAGGTCGGAACTACCAGTGTTCAACGATTCTACCGCTCGGCTGCTGGCGAAAGGACAACCGTAACCATAGATTTTACATGCTTCAGTTTTATGTAATAATGACAACAATAAATGACTATGCTTTATTCGGGATACGAACGTTGACCCGCACTGGAAGCTGTCTTATTTAACCACTGTACCAACCAGGTAGCAATACAGTGTGCTGCAAAAAATTTATTAATTATTAAAGTCACAGATATTTTCTACTTTTCTTTTGTTGAATAGCTGTGTTATTCTTCTTATGTTGTTCTTCCCAGATTGGATTGGAATGGGAATACGACACGAGATCAACTCGGCCACTTTAAAACCTGGTTACAGTTCCATGCTGGTATCATCACTACATACTAACATTCCAAACTAATATTTTAATCAAACTCTTTCTCATATGATTCTGCGCCAGTGCTAATTAAAAGACTCGTCTAAGTTATTTTAATGTCGACAACGCGGCAGTATCAATTCTACGGCGTGTCGAGTTTTTGTAGTGTCGATCGTATTATCCTGAAGGTTGCGGCCCTCCTTTCCTTAACGCCATCTTCTTTAGCGTCATTTCTCCCGCCCTCTAGCGACCGCTTAAGTGTTACGCTTCTCGGCTAAGGAGGTACACCTGTGAAGACTTTGGGCAGGCGAAAATTATGCATTAATCTTTTTATTCATCACTATACTAAGATTTCTCTTTTATCACGTTGATCGGTAACTAGCTTCGGTAGTACATCGGTGTTGATGCCACGGCTACAGTCTGGATTGTTTAGGTGAAGAACACCAGAGCTCTCTTTCAGAGTTCCATCCTACTTTGACCAACAACATCTCCGAGGATAACATTTAAGATTTGATTACCTCTACACTATGAAAGCATTCAATAAGATTCTGTAAGATTCATCAGTATTTTTCCAAATCATGCTGCAATTTCTTTGCGATTTTTTTTTCTTGCGTAAAAACAAGATGGTGGGATTTTGTAAAGAATGTTGTGTTCTTAATACTACTTTAACACAGCTCGATGGTATCTAAAGATTTCAAAACCCTACCATCGATCCCTTGAGAAACGTACAGATAGATAAATTTTTAAGCGCCTCCATTTTACAAAGACACTATAATCACAAATGTCCATGATTTGAGCGGGATTCGAACATGGGCTCAAGAGCGCGTGCGCACTATCTTTACGATAAAGTACATAAAAACTTTAATATTTGAAGTTAGGCATTCCAAAATGTGGTTTTTGTAACAAAAGTCTCAATTTCTTAAAGCATATAAAATAGTAACAAGGCACAGGAATCTAAACTAAAAAATACTATGCACCGCTTTAAGCTGGCAAACACGATTCTTTATGTAAATTTTTGTGAAGCGGCTTTCAAGTAACAAGGCTGTTGCATATCAAATATGATTAAACTGTAAAAATCCTAAGCAGCCGCAAGGATGCAAATCTAGGGGCGAAGAACCGCTGTTTCGTGAAATTCAGTCTTCTGCCCCAAGCTAGCCACGATTCGCTCTGTTCGCGAGGATGCATACAGCAAGTTTTCCCAAGCTACTGAAATTCGAAGCGGTTTTGGAAGTAAAATTAAAAACTTGTGGCACCCTTGATATATATTTTTTAAAGAATAGATATGTTTTTTTCCCCTTTATTTTATTTTCCATCATCATCCTTTGAAGTTATCAATCCGGGAAAGAGTACACTTTTCGGCCCTAAGCAAGCATTTGAAGCTAACTATTTTCATTGTCATGGACTTCACCTGGTTAAGAAGGAATGTATTCATAGCAAACTTAATGAATCAAGGAAATGAAAACATAAAACTAAACGTGGGAGGGCTCTTCACACTCGATGGTTCAGTTAAACCTGCAAGAATGTTTCTGAGCGACAGATTTCTTTGAACCTCGGGAATATTAGAATATAACAGCGTTTCTTAAACTGTGGGTGGAAAACCCAAATGGTGTCACAAAGTGAAACGAGTCACGAAAATTTAATTAATTAATTAATTTACCATCAGATGAGCAGCTGCACCGCCTTTAAAACATTCAGCTTTTACGCAAGAGACTGAGTTTATTGCTAGCTGTTGGATGCAAGAATAAGTAATTCATTCTCAGGAACGAATGCATGGATCAGTGTTACCATCTATCAAGTATTAAAATAATTTATCTGTCAGCTATTAAATTAATTTATTCACAGCCCCCCTGGACTGATGTCACAGTACCTAAGGTGCTTCGGTTCGGACTCAATGATAGAAAATGGAATATTAGAATATAACAGCGTTTCTTAAACTGTGGGTGGAAAACCCAAATGGTGTCACAAAGTGAAACGAGTCACGAAAATTTAATTAATTAATTAATTTACCATCAGATGAG